ATTACATTTTTCAGCAAAAGCAGTTCAGAAAAAACACTGTCAGCATTTCTTTTGCTGTTGTTGCAGATTTGTGTTTTAAGAATTTGTCCCCACACAGCCCAGCTACGTTTAACGTAAGTGTTGCCACGGGAATAGTGAGGTCACTACAACTTCACTAAAATCAAAGCTTCACTAACATCAAGTTAGAAGAAAAGCTGGGCTGAGGGAAGAAGCCTGTGTTTGAATAGAAATAGCTTAGAAATTAGCACACGTAGTAAGGAGTTATGAAAGACAAGGGGAATGTAACTGGATTTATGTTTACATCGGATATTTGAGCCTCTCTCTGGTATGAAAGACCCTCTTTATTAAAAACTGCCATTCATCTCTGATTTCACCAAAATGGTATAGGGAGGTTTGGAGAGGGATTTACTATATTAAATGATGTCTTCAGAAAGAGAAACAAGTTTTGCTGGGTATTTTTACGAGAATTAGATCAGAGAATCAAGGAAAAAGAATTCAGGCAGAACATACCAGTATAGACAGGTCTCTAAGTAAACTGAAAGTACCTGACTGCAGGCTTGCAGTAAATCTGAAAATGGTGGGGAAAAATTTTTTTTGTTTTTTAAATGGATTAGAGCAGGGATCAGCAACCTTTGGCATACGGCCCACCAGAGTAAGCACCCTGGCGGGCCGGGCCAGTTTGTTTACCTTCCGTGTCCGCAGGTTCGGCCTATCGCGGCTCCCACTGGCTGTGGTTCGCCGCTCCAAGCCAATGGGGGCTGCGGGAAGCGGCGGCCAGCACATCCCTCGGCCTGTGCTGCTTACCGCCGCCCTCATTGGCCTGCTTACCCTGGCGAGCCACGTGCCAAAGGTTGCCGATTCCTGGTCTAACCTGTTCTTAAAAACCTTCAAAATGGGGATTCTACAATCTCCCTTGCAAACTTAACTATCCTTAGCATTAGAAAGTTTTTTCCTAATATCTAATGTAAATCTCTTTTTCTGAACATTAAGCCCATTACTTCTTGTCCTATCTTCAGTGGACATGGAGAACAATTGATCATCATCCTCTTTATAACAGCCCTTAATGTATTTGAAGACTTAGCAGGTCCCTCAGTCTTCTTTTCTCAAGACTAAACATGTCCAGTTTTTTTAACCTTTCCTCACAGGTCAAATTTTCTAAACCTTTTATTATTTTTGTTGCATTCTTCTGGACTCTTAAATTCATTCATGTCTTTCTTGAAGTGTGGTTTCCAGAACTGGACACAGTACTCCAGCAGAGGCCTCACCAGTATCAAGCAGGACAGGAAAATTAGCTCATATCTTACATACACCACTCTTGTTAATACACACCCCAGAATGATATTAGCCTTTTTTGCAACTGCATCACGTTGTTGACTCATATTCACTTTGTGTCTGCTATAAGCCCCAGATCCTTTTCTTCAGTACTGCTACCTAGCCAGTTATTCCCCATTTTGTAGTTCTGCATTTGATTTTTTTCTACTTAAGTGTAATACTTTGCACTTATCTTTATTGAATTTCATCTTGTGGATTTCAGACCAATTCTGCAACTTGTCAAGGTCGTTTTGAATTCTAATCCTGTCCTCCAAAGTACTTCCAACCCCTCCCAGCTTGGTGTTATCACAAATTTTATAAGCATACTCTCCACTCATTATCTGACATTAATGACAATATTGAGTAGTAACAGACCCTGCAGAACTCCACTAAATATACCCTCTGATTTGACAGCAAACCATTGATTACTACTCCAAGTATAGTCTTTCAACTAGTTTTGAGCCCACCTTATAGTAATTTCACCTAGATCGCATTTCCCTAGTTTGCTTGTGAGATTGTCATGTGGGACTGTGTCAAAAGCCTTACTAAAATCAAGATATGTAACATTTACAGCTTCACCCCATCCACAAGACCAGTAAGCCTGTCAAAGAAGGAAATTAGGTTGGTTTGGCATGATTTTTTCTGGATAAATTCATGTTGGCTATTACTTTAACCCAGGGGTTCTCAAACTGGGGGTTGGGACCCCTTAGAGGGTCATGAGGTTCTTACACAGGAGATCAGAAGCTGTCAGGCTCAACCCCAAACCCCATGTTGCCTCCAGCATTTATTATGGTGTTAAATATATAAAGGAGAGGGTCACACTCAGAGGCTTGCTATGTTGAAGGGGTCACCAATACAAAAGTTTGAGAACCTCTGCTATAACCTCTTATCCTCTAGGTGCTTACAAATTGATTATTTGTTCCAGTATCTTTCCAGGTGTTGACATTAGGCTGTTTTTTCCCCCTGCCTTTTTAAAGACAGGTACTATGTTTGCCCTTCTCCAGTCCTCTTGGGACCTCACCCATGCTCCATGTTTTCTTAAAGAATATCACTAACAGTTCCAAGATTGTTTCAGCTAGTTCCTCAAGTACCTTAGGATTCATTTCATCAGGTCCTGCCAATATGAATACATCTGACTTGTCTAAATAGACTTTAACCCATTTTTCCCCCTATTTTGGCTTGTGTTCCTTCCCCTTTGTTGTTAATATTAATTAAGTTAAGTATCTGGTCACAATTTACCATTTTAGTGAAAGAAACATTTTCATTACTAGAAATCACTGGAAATCAGAAAGTATAAGTTTTTAGAAGGCAAATTCTATGGAATTTTTTTGAGAAGAGGAAGTTAGCAATTAAAAAAATAGGTTTTGCTTGTGTGGTTTTTTTTTAAAACTTACTTATGACAACTTAAACATTGATTCCATGGATTTTTAAATGAGAAAGCAGGTTCTTTCAGTCCTCCTAATTACTATTAATTTTGGTATACTCTCCTTGACAAACAAGAACAACCAAAATATATAATTTTTAAAAGAAATGATAACACTAACAAATGTATGCTAAACTTCATTGCTCAGTTACCTTGATTTGGGATATTCCTGATTCCATATCCTTTGCTTGTATGTTGTCGGTATGCTATCTGTATTAATTTAATACTCTTTTGTACAACTAGCACTCTTTCTGCACTGTACAAATAATGTTTTGCCTCAAACTGGAACTAGTGATTTAAATTACCTTTAAAATGGCAACCTCCAAAACCAGAAGACAGCACCATTCACTGAAGGGAGAGGAGGAAGTGGTTTCCGGTATTTCTATAAACCTCTTGTGAAAATACTTTTAATACAACATTCTTGTTTAGTAAATATTTAGTTAACTACAGGATGAAGAAGTCATCAGGAGTCTTCCTGCTAGAATGGACTAGGGTTGTCTTTGGCTTTTAAAAAATGGAGTGCCTCTATAGTCTTCTACCAGCCAGCTGGGAACTCTTTCTTCTCTGACACCTTATTTTCCAGCCTCTGACCTTATCCACCCCAGGTACCATTGTGTTTCTCTTTGACTTTTCACTTTTGTATAGCATAGCAAGATTCTCCCCAGCAATCATCAACATTAAGGGAACCCACAAAGAAAAAAAAAAAAAGAAGCTTTTGTCCTTGTCTGCATCTTTATGATTGATCAGTTAAGGCAGGGGTGGGCAAACTACGGCCTGCGGACCAGATCCGGCCCCTCAGGGCTTTGCGCTGCCAACACCACATCCCTGCGGCCCCCAGGCAGGGGGAACACAGGGCTCCGTGCGTTGCTCTTGCCTCCAGGCACTGCCCCCCACAGCTCCAATTGGCTGGGAACAGGGAACCGCGGCCAATGGGAGCTTCAGGGGAGGTACCTGGAGGCGCGGCAAGGGCAATGCACGCAGAGCCCTCCACCCTCCCTCCCCCAGGGGCCGCAGCGCTTCCTGGAGCGGCACGGGCCGGGGTAGGGTGACCAGACAGCAAATGTGAAAAATTGGGTCAGGGGGTGGGGTGGTAATAGGAGCTTATATAAGAAAAAGACCCATGGTATGCAGGGACACCGCTGCCACCCTGGAACCGCTATAGGTAAGTGGTGCTGGGCCGGAGCTTGAACCCCTCCTGCACCCCACCCCCCCAACTCCCTGCCCTAAGCCCCCTGCCTGCACCTCGCACCCCAACTCCCTGCCCTGAGCCCCCTGCACCTCAACCCCTGCCCTGAGCCCCCTCCCGCAGTCCGCACCCCTCCTGCACCCCAACACCCTTCCCTGAGCCCTCTCATACACCCTGCACCCCTCCTCTGCCCCAATCCCTTGCTCTGAGCCCCTTCCTGATCACCGCACCCCCTCCCACACCCCACGCTCCCTCCCGTACCCCAACCCTGCATACTATTTCCCCACCCAGATGTGGCCCTCAGCCCAAAAAGTTTGCCCACCCCTGAGTTAAGGTGTGAAAATTAACAAGAAATGTCTGTGACTTCCAAGAAGACAAAACCAGAGAAGACCAGACTTGACATTTTTGAGATTTGTGAGGGGAAAAATAAGAAAATTATTTTAAAAACATAAATCTTTCTGGATTTATTTATGCATCATAAAAGGAGGGCAAAAAGGGACACAAATTTAATTAAAAAACATTGTCTGCGGGTCACCTTCAACAAGCTGTTTTATGGAAGGAACAAAGAGTAAGGTGCGGGAATGCTTGGAGAAGACAGCAAACTTAAATGCATAATAGTTTTAATTTTTGTCAAGCAGGGGACAAAAGTAAACGGTATAAATAGTGCTAGATAATCTCTGCCTTTTGTAACAATAAGACACCTGTTTCTTAAGAAATGTACATTTAGTTTAGATCATAGAAACTGGTACAATGTCTCCCCAAATGCTGCTGAAAAGACTTACGTTCCAGACACCAAAATACAAGGACAGAAGAGAAAAAAAAAGCCACGCAGTGTTTTGCTTTCTGAAGGGTGGGGAGAGCTGTCAAGTATCTAGAAGTCAGAGCTATTTTTACCTGTCAGCTCTGAAAGTTCCTCCCCCCGGAATAAGCTGTAGAAACAACTGGTTTGCTAGCCAAAGCAACACTGAACTGCATGCAGATGTGAAGGAGACGCTAACTGGAGGCCAGCTGCCCTTGCCCGCTGCGCAGGAGAAAGGGGAAGGGGAAGGGGAAGCGTGCGGGAGGGCTGGGGTGTCTCACTCTCTGAGTCGCTCATGCCGCTGCTGTCGCTGACGCTGGCGCTGCTCCGCCGTTTCATCCGCGCCAGGTGCTCCTCGTACTGGAAGTGGCGCTTGCTGACGGGCGAGGAGAAGTCTTCTATCACGGCATCGAACTCACCCAGTACCTCCGCCAGCTCCCCGGCGTCCGCCCGCAGGGCGGCAGGGCCCGGGGCCGGCCGGGACGGGAGAGGACGAGGGAGACCGTCACCGGAGCCTAACGAGAAACATGGACATCCTTAAAATCCCCCCGACCCTCGGAGAGCAGGGCTGGAGCACAAGAGAGAGACCGAGCCACCCCCTCCAGCGACA